ATCTCCTCTATAAACTGCCAGTTCCGGGAGGCCAGTAACCATATCTGTGTGGGTTTTTCTCACTACTGTAATCCAATGGCCAGCATGGCGTGGGGTATACAGTTGGTGCTCCAAAAGCAGTTACTGTGATAAAATAAGGAAGGAGAGGGGAGCAAGAAAACCAGGAGAGGAAAGGAAGAGGGAACTGAACACCGAACTGGTGGGTTTTGAGCCCATGACTTAAAACCATGGATCGTTTGTGCACTTTACAAGCTAGAGGAATGACTGACAGTGAACTATCCTGAATCGAGCGACACTTCAGTACCTTCCTAAAGCCGTGTCCTCAAAACACCGGCAAACGGTTCTTGCAGAATTCCATGCTCACTCAAAGCCTGTGGCCTTTAGTATTTGTTGAGTCATCAAATCTTATGGATTTATGGATGAAGGGATGGATGGATGGACGCATGGAAGGATACATGGATGGATACATAGATGGATGGATGAAGACTGGTTGAATAAATGGGTGACTGGATAAATGGATAGATGAACTTAAAATATACGGTAGTATAAGATTCTGCAATAGCGTATTTTTGGAGTTTTTGTTTTTCATTGTTTCTTGGCTTTCAGAGTTGAACTAAATTAAACAGAACTTAATACTTAGAATTCTAAATTTCTATGCCTATAAGTATTTTTTATAAGATCACATTTAGTACCTAACTTTTTAATTCAAAAAAAATGAAACTTCTTGGTCTCCCCATTTCCTCTCCTTTTAATTTTGACAGTGTTTAAATGTAAGCAATAAAGTTCAGTCTGTCTCTCTCTCTGTGTCTCTGTCTCTGTCCCTGTCTTTCTCTCCCTCCCTATCTCTCTCTCACACTCACACACACACACACACACACACACTCTCTCTCTCTCTCTCTCTCTCTCTCTCTCACACACACTCTCTCTCTCTCTCTCTCTCTCTCTCTCTCTCTCTCTCACACACACTCTCTCTCTCTCTCTCTCTCTCTCTCTCTCTCTCTCTCACACACACTCTCTCTCTCTCTCTCTCTCTCTCTCTCTCTCTC